TGAAGCATTGATTAATACTTCCAGCAAAATCATAGTAATTACATGAGGCACTGTATCTTGTAAGTATTTTAATAGGGATAATTCTAGTTTTAGAATTTCTTTGTTAAAGAGAGATGTTCTTGATCTTGTTCATGAAATATCTGCTTGTTTCTCATTAATTGGGAGCCTTGAAGTGATGGATTCATATTTTTATCACAAATACTTATCAAAATTTATCAAGGTGGCAATTTTTCTCATTTCAGGTACTCAAGAGTTTGTTTCTTAGTTTTTGACAACTGTTGGATTAGAAAGCATCCTCTTATATTGCTAAGTGCATTATCAATTAACATAGTTTAGAAAGCAATTTGGCAAAAGTAGTAAAAGATTATTTTCCAAATACATATTTTAGACATTAAACGTATTTCTGGAATTAATAATGACAAAAAAAGTAAGCCTCCAAAGTGTTCATCTCAGCATTATACTATTAGTATTTTCTTCCCAATAGGACCTCATCAGACATTCCATAACTTTACTTTTAAAATGAATTTTTTAAAAATTCTGCCAGTCAGCAGAATCTGTGTATGTGTGGGTAGGCAGCAGGCCTAATTTCTACAGACTCAAACAACCTTATCTTATTTGGGAAGTATATCACTTAGAAGTCAAAACATTAGCAATCCATAAAACTTTCTAATTCATAGTAGATCATGAACCAACACATATTCAGTATAAAATACTAATTTGAAGTCAGTAATAACACCTATTTCTTAATGCTAGGCAAAATGTTTACTTCGGTTTTTAAAATATGTATTTATTTTATTTTATTTTTTACAGGGAGGGGAAGGAAAGGAGAGAAACATCTATCTGTTGCCTCTCCCATGCCCCTAACTGGGGATCTGGTCCACCACCCAGGCATGTGCCCTGATGGGAAGGGAATCAACCAGTGCTCATTTCACTGAGCCACACCAGACAGGGTGTGGTTGGTTGGTTTGTTTTATCTCTCTATCCTTTTCCAGATGAGAAAGTCACAAACAGTTTTCACAAAACCTTCCATTTATCACATGTATACAGATACGCTGTAGACGTCAATGAATTAAGCTAGAAAATAGGCGGAAGGGTATTTTATAACTTTCTAGGCTAGCTCTCCAGTTTTCTGTAAGAGGAAAAGTCAGGAACTAAGGAAAAATAGTTTGAATCTTGAAATATTGAACTTCACTGTTTCTCACTGGTACATGAAGTCCAGCAAGTGGCTATTTTCACTGCCCCTTTGTAACTGGTTATTGATGAAAGGAACGGATGGTGTAAATATTTAGACCAGGCTGTGACTAGGGAACAACTGGTTAAATGGCTTTCATTTTTTTCCAAAAATAAAGAATAAAAATTGTTTTACAAAATAAATGAACAAACAAAATAGAAACAAGCTCATAGATACTGATGGTTGCCAGAAGGGAGGAGGTTGGGGGACTGAGTAAAAAAGAAGAAGAAATTAAGTACAGATTGGTAGTTACAAAATAGTCATAGGGACATAGAGTCAGCATAGGGAATACAGTCAACAATATTGTAATAACCATGTGTGGTGCTAGGTGGGTACTAGACTTATGGGGGGATCACTGCTTAAGTCATAGCTGTCTAACCACTATGCTATGCACCTAAAACTAATATACCATTGAATGTCAACTGTAATTTAAAGAATCAAAGTCTTTTCACTGCAAAAAAAAATAACATGAAAATTGTTTAAAAAAACTTTTGGATTGTCCAAAAACAAGGTCTTAATTTCTTCCAAAGTGAAGTATTTAATTTTCTTATCTGTGCTCCAAAGGAAAGAGATTCTAGGTAAGTAACAGCAACTGAAACCACAGAACATTGGCTTTCCTTATACAACAATATTCAAACCTAGATATTGGCATCCCTGAGGATACATGATTAAGATCTAGGGATATGTAAGCACATGAATTTAGAGAACACATTTTTACATCCTCAAGATTGATAAACATTCAAGAAAAAACTGGTCTGCCGAGAAGAGCAAGTGTGGCCTATCTCCGTACCCGTTTCCAGTCTCACACTTGGCCCTTACATCACCCTATACACCATAGGCCCTCTGACTCATCCCAAACCTCACCATGGTGCATTCCCCACAGTGCAAAACCTCTGTGACACCAAACACAGGGACACTTCTAGAAGGTTTAGTTCTTGAGAAGGACTCTCAGTAGGAAAGCAGAGGGGGCTCTAGTAAGGTGCCAATGCTTTACCAGCTACCTCCTCTCTCTCCTGTATAACATCTTCCTCTTTCCTACTTTACTAGCTTCTTTTGATCAACATTAAATGCACTTTATTTCCATCTTCTTCATCCTAAATATGACCATTATCCAGTCCTGCAACCACCTGTATTATTTGCTCCTGTCATTCTGTTCATACCCAAACTTCTTGCGTGTTTTCTGCGAGATCTGCCCCTACTTCTTCACATGCAACTCATTTCTCCACTCGCAGCAACGTGCTCGCAGCCTCTCTCTTCTGAAACTGCTCAGCCAAGGTTTACTATGAGCTACATCTTGCTGAGGTCAGAGATCACTGTCAGTTAGCCATGATTGACATCTCAGAAGCATCTGACAGTGACCACATCCTCTATTTAAATCTGACCTTCATTTATCTGGTTTCTATGCCACCATTTCCTGTTTTTCTGCCCCTCCTCTCTTTTCATTGTTGACCATCCCCTGTCATCTCAGGGAATGTTGGTGTTCCTCAACAGTCTAAGCCAGGTGCTGCACTTCGTCCTCTCTGCTCATACAGAGTCAACCTCCCAAATAATTCCAAATGTCATCTCTATGGTTATGACTTCCATAGGTATGTCTTTACTCATAATCATGTCTCCAAACATTAGACCTGTATTTCTACCTGCTACCCTAGAATATCTCCACTGAACATGTCCAAAATTGAATATATACTTTCGGCCTTTTGGCCCTTCGGCCCTCATCTTCTTCCTGTTTTCTCTATGTAAAAGGGTTCCCACCCATTCTTCCACTCAAAATAGAGACATGGACATCATCCTTGACTCCTCAAATAAGCAAATAAGCAAAGCCCAGTTACTAATGGGCTGATTTGCTGAAGATGGCCTCATTCCTACTGCCTTAGTTTAGTTCAGGATGTGATGGCAAAATACAGGAGTGGGTTGCTTATAAATAACAGAAATTTATTTGCTCACAGTTTTGGAAGCTGATCATGGCCTCAGCATGGGCAGTAAGGCACCTTCTGAGTGCAGACTTCTTGTATTCTCACAAGCTGGAAGGGAATAGGGATCTCTCTGGAGACTTTTTAATAAGGGCAGTAACCCCATTTATGAGGTCTGAGCTCTCATAACTTAAGCACCTACCAAAGGCCCCGCATGCTAATACCATTACATCAGGCATAGGATTTTAAAATATGAATTGGGGGGGGGGGCACAAACATTCAGATCATAGCACCTACCATTTAAAGAGTAGAAATCTAGCCCTGGCCAGGTGGCTTAGTTTGTTGGAGCATTGTCCCATACACCAAAGCACTGGGGGTTCCTTTTCTGGCCAGGGCACATACCTAGGTTGAAGGTTCAATCCCCAGCCAGAGCACGTATGGCAGGCAACCAACTGATGTTTCTCACATTGATATTTCTCTCTCTCTCCCATGTCCTCTCTCTCTAAAATCAATTAAACAAACAAACAAACAATCCTGATGGTGCAACTAAGTGGGTTTGGCGTCATCTGCAAATGGAAAGGCTGCCGGATCAATTTCAGGTCAGGACACATGCCCCGGTTGTGGGCCAGGCCCCCAGTTGGAGGCATGTGAGGCAACCGATCAATGTTTCTTTTGCATCTTTTACATTGATGCTTCTCTCCCTCTTTTTCTCCCTCCTTTATCCTTTCTCTAAAGATAAGTAAATAAAAACTTTAAAAAACAAACAAACAACATATTCTTGGGTGAGAATTAGAAAAGAAAATAGAAAATCCAGAGGTCTGAGGCAACCTGACTTTCTATGCAAAACAAACAGTGTGAAGAAGAGTTCAGAATCAGAACTGAAAATCATTCACGTGATAATATTTACACAGTTATGAATTTAGAAAAAAGCTATTTGCTTCTGTTTGAAAAGACTAGACTTGGATTGAAACCTATAAAAGTCTTTTCAAAAATTGGATTTAATGCAAAATACAAAAAAGATTCAAATTGATGATTTTGTTTAAATTGTTCTCATTGTCAAATGCTAAATAAACAAAATGTTGATTATGTCTAGATGAATACAGCAGCTACAGCAATTAAAAAGTATTTTTAATATGAAGCCAAATTAAAAGTTAAGTACCTACAAATCAATGTTAAGAAAATAATATTTCAATAGCATTTAGCCATTTTGAATGATTTTAAATTATATCTATACATTGGTAGTATTTGGAAGTATTATGTAAATTTTATTTGAATATGTAATTATGTATATTACTATTTATTTAAGTAAATACATTACATTAAAATACATTACATTGCTCTGCAAACTTAATTATAAGGTTAAATTCAACTAACTTTAAATCAAATGTCAAATTGACATTTTAAATATATTAAATTGTGTCAATAGCTTGTAAATTTAACTTGTAGCTGAAATTTTTATTTATTCATTCTTAATTCTTCACCTAATAAATAAGTACAGTTTACACTTTCATTTTTTAATGTATAAAGCACAGCTATAAATAGAGTACATAGATATATATACTGCATATGTATTGTTAGTTTTCTTGGGGGATTCAATTAGAAAGATGTCTGAAAGACTCTGTGGACAGGGGGCTAATAATGAAAAAAAAATGTGCCCTAGAAACACCACCAAATGTATGTAGAAAGTGCACAAGGAAAGCAAAAGCAGAAATAGAAAGTAAGGGAAACATTCAGAAATTGAAAAGTCCTATGTTCCCTATATAAGACACCAGCACAAAGTTAGACCTTACAGAGCCTAGAGAACAAGATTCAGACAGTCCCCCAGCTCAGCCAGGCCAGCAGCATCTGCAAGGTCCCCAATGGCCCTGCCCTTTTCCTTCCTGGTGGCCCTGGTGGCTCTCAGCTGCAACTCCATCTGCTCTCTGGGCTGTGACCTGCCTCACACCCACAGCCTGGTTAACAGGAGGGCCTTGGTGCTCCTGGGACAAATGAGAAGGATCACCCCTTTCTTCTGCCTGAAGGACAGAAAGGACTTTGGGTTCCCCCTGGAGGCGTTCAGTGGCAACCAGTTCCAGAAGGCTCAAGCCACTTCTGCCATCCATGAGATGATCAGGCAGACCTTCCACCTCTTCAGCACAGAGGGCATGTTTGCTGCTTGGGACAAGACCCTCCTAGACCAACTCTGCAATGGACTTCATCAGCAGCTGAGTGACCTGGAAGCCTGTCTGACGCAGGAGGTGGGGCTGGAAGAGGCTCCCCTGATGAGTGAGGACTCCATCTGGGCTGTGAGGAAATACTTCGAGAGAATCACTCTCTACCTGCAGGAGAAGCAGCACAGCCCTTGTGCCTGGGAGATTGTCAGAGCAGAAATCAGAAGATCCTTGTCTTTATCAGCAAACTTGGAGGAAAGATTAGAAGCAAGAAATGACAGCTGAATCAACATGGAAATGATTCTCACTGGCTAATGATATCACAATTCTGCATGTTCTCTCATGTTAAAGACTCATTTCTGCTATAATTATGACTTGATTTCAGTCAAACTTCTCAAATGTTTTCAAGAGTATCAATTGCTATTGTACTTAACTCTGTGGACACTAGTTTCATACAGGTGACCATGCTGATGGATCTATTTATTTTTATTTATTAAACTACAAGATTTAAATTATTTTTTATTTATATAAATATTATGTGTATCTTTACACTGTTAATAGAACAAAATATATTCTTTATATTTTTGTCAAATAATTATTTTGCTTTGTTCATTAAATTTTTACTATAGAAACTTTATTGTATTTGTTTATTATTTAAAAAGAAAAAAAGAAATGCTAAGTCTAAACATGCAACTCGATTTAAGAATAGACAGTCCCTGGGCAGGTAGTTCAGTTGGTTAGAGCGTCATGTCCATATGCCAAGGTTGCAGGTTTGATCCCAGACAGGGTATATACAAGAGTCAACCAATAAATGCATAAATAAGGGCAACAACAAATCAATATATACTTTCTCTCTCTCCCCCCTCCGTCCCTTCCTCTCTCTCTAAAAATAAAAAATCAATTAATAAAAAAGGATGGATGGTACAGTTCATTTACCCATTACTATTATATTTAAGCAAAAATAGATATCCTCTAAGCCAGGGTTTATGCTATGTTCTGGATATGGAGGTGAACATAAATGCAGATCCTGTTTTTTTTGTGTCTTTGATTTTTTTAGGGTAAGTAATCTAGAAACAATAATCACTTAATTAGTATTTAAATATTAAACTAACACCAATTAATATTAAAATCAGTACTAGTTAGGTTTAAGGCTATAATGAGAAGAAAGGAGTGAAGGGCCCTACAGTAGCAATAAAGAGATGCCTCACCTGAAAGGGGAGAAACAGAGTGACTGTACCTTTAAGAAGTTGTCAGAGTGGAAATCATCTGTCATTTTCATTACCAGAGTTGAAAGATGCAGAAGTAAGAAAGTGGGCCTGGCAATGATTCTCTTTAACTAATACAATTATTGAAATGATTCTCTTTACTTAGTAAGTCACACTGCCCATGTGTTTAGTCTTTTAAAGGATTGTTATTTCTGCTTTAGTCATAGAATGCATTGAGTTAAATTGTTCAAAATTGTTGTTAAAATGTTTTTGTAAAAATGCATACCTCTAGAGGCATCACTCTATACAAGATAGCTATACTGACATGTATGTATTCATTTCTTAGGGAACTCTTGGTTTCTTGTTCAACATGTAAGTACCTTAGAAGTCATCATTCCCTACCTCACAACAACAATTAAAAATCCAGGATAAATAAAAACAACAACTACAAGTCTTCTTGGAACCATCAAGAATTGAGGTCACAGAGCAAGCCAGTGCTCTGATAACTGGAGAGGAAGAGGAATGTGGAGAATCACGGTTTACCTGGTGGTAAAGTCCGTATCTGGAGCTGGTGTGGGTAGGAATGCTTAAACTGTAATTGAGAATTACTGGAGGGCCTGTGGGGATGGGCTAGAGATTTAAAAGCTGCAGTATAGCCAGTCTTAGGGGGGGCCCCACACATGTGGGTATTCTACCTTCAAAATTCCACCACCTCAGCCTCCACCTCCAGGTTCTCACTCTGAAGATCAGAGAAAAATCTCCTGGTGCTTCCAGCAGAAGACAGCAAAGAGAAATAATTTTGAAATACCCTGAAGTGTTCTGTCCTCCTAAACAAAGGCCTGCCCGCAATAGAAACTATTTAAGAGAAAGTGTCATCAAGGAACATGTACAAAAGACCCATGGACAAAACCAAAGGGGGGTAGGATTGAGGATAAGAGATGGGGATGGATGGGGTATGGGGAGAGTAGTAGTGGGGTAATGGAGACAGATGTACTTGAACAACAATTTAAAAAAAGAAAAAGAAAAAGAAAAAAGAAACTATTTTATCAGAGCCTAACCCACTTGGGGGAAGGGAAACACCTCACTTCAACTCCCTCTAACTTTCCCATCTCACGTACTGGAGTGTTCAAAAAGCCAAGGAGCACTTGTGAAGGTCATAGCCCAGGGGCACAGCCTCACTAAAAGACTGAGGGTAGTCACTGAACTATAGAGCACTTTCCCCTACATACCACCACGTGTAGGGTTCCCGTAGATAACAGGGGATTACAATGGAAAAGAACTGCAAGAGTCAGGCTTGAAGAAGAAGTCTCTAGGGAAATCCAAAGACTACAGGGTTTGGGAAAAAAGCAAGGCCACAGAGGAAATTTTAGCCTCTGACACCTACAGCTACTGCAAACAGACAACACAGAGAACTCCTAGCGAGATAAACGCAAAACCTCATCCTAAGAGCCAACTGACCACGGTTTCTTTTACCCAGCATATCATGTTCAGCTTTCAACAAAAACTGACAGGGCATACTAAAAAGTGAAAAAGAGTTTGAAGAGACATAGCAGGAGTGAGAACTAGACTTAGATATGGCAGAGACTTTGAAATGATCAGACTGGAAATTTAAAACTACTGTAATTAATATTCTAAGGGCTTTAATGTATTCATAAATTCATTTACCTGTTTTATCTCAGTCATACTATGGTAATTAGAATAGTTTTTTTCATATAATATCAAGTTTATCTTCATCATGTATTCAAACATAATAAATTATGTTCACCTTTACCTTTTATCAAAAGTTTTCCTTTTTAATATGTGAAAAACTTTCCCCAGAAGACATCTTGGATTTGTTTAATCTTAGAAAAAGAAATAGGCTGAACTTTCAACCCATGTTGAAAGATCCACGGTGACTTGAACTCACTCATTCCTTTTTCCCAGTTAGTTATGTTTTAAAACTGTATATTTCTCTGTCTGATTGCGATAGTTCGGAGGACTTACAGGTGAAAAAGCAAATGCAAAACTTATTCTCTTTAACCTTTCAAGTTTGAATAGTGAGAGATAAAAATCAGTAATCATGTTTAATGAATTTCCATTATGTTTATGCTCCAATGAGAGGTAGGACAAGGAATTATCTTGCCAGAAGCTGCAATGAAGGATGTGCTAAAGAAGGGATGTCCAGCCTATAGAAAAGACTTATGAGTTTATTTGAGCCAACGTTTTGAGAACATGCCTGGAAGCCATATCTCAATGGATTGAGAAAATGCTCTGAGAAATGGCACTTCTACAGTTCCTGATATGCACTTAGAGTCGAAGCAGAAAATGTAAGGAAGGTTACTGAAATCTATGGGTAGATTACGGAGGTAACAAAAAGCAAAGTGGGGAAATCTCTAGGATTGGATAAGAAGCAAAACTGGAGAAACACGTACTTCTTTTACATTGGTGGGTACAGATAGTTAACATTTACAGCAAACAGAGATGATATGCAAGGAATAAGATAACAACGAGATCGCTGTGTGGTCTCTTGCTCTGGTGATCACGTGATCTGGTGCTTTCTATTGTGCCTTTGAGGTGTCTGGAAAAGAAAATTACTCTCACATTTAAAAGTTATGTTATTCTAGATGCTTAAGAATAAGATACAGGGCTCACTTTAGGTAAAGACTGATCTTGGCTCGGGAAGGTGTAGTCCTGGGACATGACTACCAGCCATGGTCTGCCTGGTTAAGAATTTATGATCAGACCATCCAATGTGGTTACTTTTGGTCACTGAGCTTGACAAGCCTGCCATGTTGTCCCCTGAGCTTTTCAGATTTATTACATAGCTCCCTTTTCAGTCACAGATGTTAAAAAGGGGGGAAAAGAAGACATACTCTGTAAAGTATCCATGAAACATCTAAAGACAGACTTCCCATTGATGGGTGCATATGTGAATCAAGGATCTCCAGCAATGTACATCCTGGAGATATTGATTTGCAATTGTTTGTTGCAGTTTTGGAAAGTGGAAACAGGTGTCACTACTTATGGGTATAGAATGAGAAGATGACCTACAATTTATAAAGATGTTCAACTATCAAGGTCAAAAGAGGAGAGTCTGTGAAGGGCACAGAGATGGAGCAGCCAGTGCAGTTAGGAAACAACTGGGTAAAAATGATCTTCAGGAAGTATTGAAAGAAGTTTGAGAATTCCACAAGGTGAAACTTAACTAGTTATTTATAACATGTGATATACTATTCTGTACTGAAGGTAGATTCTGTCAGGACATATGTATGATATTTGGGAATCTACTTTACTTCAACAAGCCTTAGTTTCTCAAACATAATAAGGTAGAAATAATTCTAGTGTTGTATTGAATAAACTAGAACATTTAAAAACACCTTGCAGAGTACTTCCACTGAGTGAGGGCTTACTTAGCACATGGTAGCTATTTTCCCATTTTTTCCTGTAGATCTATATGAGAATAGAAAACTTTCCTACCTCTTTCTCTGTAACTGACTACAGAATAGACAAGGGACTTAAGAGTTGGAAAATTTTAGTTTAAGTGATGTAGCTAATAAGCTTAGTAATCAATGCACGTAAAAGCCTTTGTTTCAGGAACTGAAGGTATGACCCACCCTGACTCCAGGAGACCATAAGCAGTTCCACCTTTGTTCCTCAGGAGGACTGCCAGCTACTCAAGATGATATCTGAGCCATTGTGCTCCAGGGTGAGATGACCACTGCCCAGGACACAGCTAAAGACCACTGCCTGGGGCACAGCTAAAGACTAACCCCAGGGGTGCAGCTTAAGACCACTGCCCAGGACAGGAATGCTGAAGTCATTTTTTTAATCCAATTAACTTTTCCCTGAATTTCAAAACCCATACCTGGTTTATTCCCTGCTATAAAAACCTTGGCCTGGAAAGAAAAGACAAGATGGTCTGTTAGGGTATGAACCCACCATCTTCTCAGATCAAGGGCCATCTGAATAAAGTGCCCATAAAGATTCAATCCCTGTCTGTGCTTATTGAGTTTGGTAGTGACAGGCAACCCAAATTCTGGGGTCTTTTCCAGTTTCAAGATACTGGTATTCTGAGAAACAGAACTGGGAAAAAGTGGCTCA